CTCTCTCTCTGTGTTTCTCTCTATCTCGTGGTGCTCATCAGCTATCAATGGCACTCTCTATTTATAGCTGATGTGGGAGACAAGTTTCTTCTTTAGTCAACAATGGTGGGCAACAATTTCTTTGGTTAGGCACCCACCATGCAACCACCATTGACTTTAGCCATGTCTAACATGGCTGCCACCAACCATGTTGTGTCCACACCCAACAGAAAGGATATGCACAAGTTAACACACTGATTGAATTACATGAAAAAATCCTAATATTTTATTAATCTCAACAAAAAGAATACACAAGTTCGTTTATGTGTGTATTATGATACAATGGTTCTGCCTACTCATATAATTTGCATACTACATACTTACATACAACCTATGTAAAAACTATATACATGGAAGAATACAACAAAAACTATCCCAAAGACTAGGAACATATATCGTTGTTTTTGTCAAAAACAGTTAACTGCCAATAACTGTCCCAATTGCTGCATCTCTCAAGGTCTATCACTCAACAAACCATTTATTCTGCCAACTCACATGCTGCTAGAATAGGTGTATTTGCATGCCTTGAATTGTTTGTCATCTAAATCAAAATTTGTGTCTAACATCAACTTATATCCTGCCAAATTGTTAGACATACATTGCTACTGAATTTGCCATGCATGTTGTTATGCGTGCTAGTAATGTTTTCACTAAGCCTTGGACCATCCATTGCCTAGACTAATCGTCAGTCTCTACTATCTATTCTATCTACACTGTTGATTTCAATACTATCCTACAAGTTGTCTCTGCCCACTGTGCTGTTTCAGTGTTATTTTTGTCAGTGTACCCTGACGAAATTAACACCATTACAATACCCATGACAGTAAATTGAAAAGAGGGTTAAATATATACAATGATGATCATAAATGTTGATGATCATAAATGTTCTAACCAGTGTCATTAATCAAATAATCACATGCATATGTTTAATTCCTTCACGAATCAAATAATCATATGCATATGTTTAATTGTCCCTCTATATATTAAACTTATATCGTTTTTTCGTTATTATTCACTCTTAAAGAGATGACTTACTCTTTTTTACTCCACGTGACCTTTGATTTAGACATACAACTACAATATTAACAATGTTGCTTTGAATCTCTGCTTCACCGACAAAATTCAAATCGAGGACACTATTAAAGCTCATAACTTTTGTTTTTTTAGCTGCAACATCTCTTTTTGCTTGGCAGATCCTATCACGTTCATATGCTAACATCTATTTTTGTATAAGTTTATAAATATTTTTGTATATATGTTTTTCTTTCAATTCATTTTCTTTTGCATCAGTTTATAAATATTATATACAATCTACTCTACTTGCAAATAACATCAAACATACTTTCATAATACACTTAAATAACATAATACACTAACAAAACACCATATTTGTATTAATATACAATAATATTTAATATTGGTTGTGAAGCACGGGCACCAAAACTAATGTACACACACGTATGCATGTCAATCTTTGTTATCGTCTGACAATTTAATTACTTTTACTGAAAAAGTGCAACAAATACAACAATTTAATTAGTACTTTTATAGATGTTGAAACATGAAATGTTTGCTTTTTTTAATAAATAAAATACATGCAATAGATTGATTAAACACATGGTGAGAAAAATTACTCGTTTTTTTTTTACCTCAAACATCATATATAACCAAAGAGCGACCTGGTTACTCCAATGAGGAATTAATAACCAAATCAACATCATATATATACAACCAGTTTGGATCATGTTGTTACGAAAGGAAGTTAGTATACCGTGAATGTTATAGATATTAATTAACACTTTGGACACTCGGAAAAAACATAGAGGAAAGCAAAACTAACTTTATTACAATCACGTGTATAAAACTACATATGAATACATATATATGGACACACTGCGTGCAAGTGAGTTGGTAGCTCAGTTATCAATAGTTAAATAGTAAAGAGTTAATTAGAAAAACAAAACATCGTTGAATACTATTATTTGTATTTCTCAACTATAAATATACAATCAAATAAAAATTTTAAGTTAGAAAGCTTTTTCCCATGATTTGACTTTTAAAAATAACCGTGCACTCTGGATAGTGTCGTGTCGAGGAATGTGTATCCATAATATAAAAAAACATATGAACACACTATGTCCATATTCCATGCAATCTTATACTATAACTAGTTATTAAACCTCCGGTTGTTTTAGGTCATTGAGTAGCTCATATTACAAGTAAAAACCTTAAACACAATGTCTTTTTACTCTTTTTTTTTTTTTTTCCATGTAGCCTATTGTAGCAATAATAGACATGGTTTATTATAAACAGAACTGTTCAAGAAACAAAGTTTTTTTGCTATTTTTTTTTTAATTTCATCCTCTTAAATGATCATTTATGTGTTAATGTCTACTTATTTTTATCAACTTTGATGTACACTCAATGTCTTAACAAATTATGAACTCATATTAAAAAATAATTTTACAAGAAAGAATTTAAATACTTCTTTTTACACACTTTGACGTATACACAATGTCTTTAAAAATTATGAAATCAAATTAAAGAATAATTTTACGATAATAATTTAAAATGATACTTCTTTTTATATACTTTCATGTATACACATGGTATAGTTAAAAATTATGAAGTCAAATTAAAAAATAATTTTACAAGATAAAATTTAAAATGATTGATTGTTAAAAAAAAAAACAAGGTTCAAAATAAACCTAAAAAAAAACACATAGCCCACTGTTAAATTATGTGGACAAATTTAGTTTGATCCATAAAGTTTTAGTTTAAGCATTTTTTGATCCCTATTATTTCTTAATTTTATATTTTGATTCTACATTTCATTTTTATCATGTTTTACCCCCACAATGTTGTTTAAAAGGAGAGAGACATTGAAAGAATAGAAAAGAAGAGAAAGGGGTTGGTAAATAATATTTTGATAAAGAAGGATCAATTGGTTCGTCTTTCAAGAATGAAGCTTTATGAAAGTGGTTCGAAGGTTTCATCTTATTAGAAAAAATAGATTGAAGCTCAAGTTTTATTATTCAATCTTTTTGTTTTTTGTTTTTTGGTTTTTGATCAATATGATGAGTTTTTAAGTTAAAATAAATTTACATATGTTAATAGGTTTTTTTTTTTAAATTCAAGAATCTAATTCCTGAGTTTTCAACCATCAAGGTAAATAGGTTAATAGGTTTTTTTATTAAAAAAATTTAAGAATCTAATTCCTGAGTTTTCAACCATCAAGTGGCTCAAATTCAAACTAGATAACAATATATCAAATTCAAACTAGATGACAATATGTCATTTGTCTAATCGAGAAATATATCATCTACTTTTAAACTAGATGACAATATATTATTTGTTTAATCGGGAAATATATCATCTACTTTCAAACTAGATGACAATATGTCATTTGTCTAATCGGGAAATATATCATTTATTTTATTAAAAAAAAAAAATTAGTTGAATGATGTGTTAAAAAAAGGACATAGGTTGTCCATCCATTTAAAAAAGAATCGGGCATTCTTGAGATTTTGTTAAGGCTAGGAGCACAAGGTCATCCTTAGAAGCCCCTTTTAATATTAACTTTTTTTCTGAAATTGTTTTTTTAATTTTGAATAAAAGATGTTTAAATAAAATAATTAAAATGATATTTAAATTATTATCTAGCTCTCCATAATTTTCAAATAAAATTATAGTTTTTTATGATAATATTAATAATTACACTGTGAATTATTTTATATGAATATAATATGCAAAAATATGCTCATAAATATTAAATGAGAATAAGATATCTATTTTGTTTTTTATTATATATATTTTAGATTAATTACTCTTTTATTTTTTATTTCTACAAGTTATTAAATCAAGGACAATATTTGCTTAAAATATAATAGTTTAATGATAAAATTGCTTAAATTGATAGTATATTCCTTGTTGTGAAAAATTAATAAACTTAATATGCATTTTTTTTCTTTGCAATCAGAAAACAAATTTAATTACGTGTGAGTGAAAAATTATAAACGGATGCATGCATGTGAAATCTATAATCTTCTCTCCAAATCTTATCAAACTTCAATTATTCTTTGTAGTAGCTAGATTTTTTAAGTATTCATCATGATATTTTTCTATCATCTATCATTGTCATGTCCTTATATTGGTAGAAGGACTAAAATCATCAGATTTGACAATTAATTTTGTAATTGGTTTCAAAATTACAACACACACATATCAAATCTATATTCTGATATATAACATATTACGTACATTTATTTTATTGTTGATTTCAAAATTAAAATACTAATCCATACCCTGAAACAGATGATGTATTCCTGAATGTCTATATATATTCTGAGGTTAATAAAAAAAATACTATGAATTCCTCTGGAAATCGCCCTAGAATTTACAAAACTTGCATCCAAGCTCCTTTGGTTTATACGATCTGTAAGAGCTAGCAATGGAAGGGTTCCCCATCTCCTACAATTTCACTCGTCTTGTTTTGCTTCTGACATGGAGCTTGATCGTTTATCTCTACTACTCTTTCTGGTGGAGGCCCGAGCTAAGGCTTAGAAAGCAAGGAATCAGAGGTCCCCCGCCTAATTTTTTACTGGGAAACATTCCAGAAATTAAGCAAGCTATAGTTCAGAATAGAAGTGAAAGTACTCCAAGCATAGAAGGCGACAGTTTTTCAGGTTTCCCAAGTTTCAAGCAGTGGTGCAAGAAATATGGTATTTTCTTGCATGATTATACAATTCTTTTGCTGTGTCACATTTCTTTTCATCTGGTGTGCATGGGTGCTCCTTTTACCATAAAATTATTTAGGGATATTAATTATTTCAACATTATGGTGTGGTTAATTACTTTTTAAAAATTGATAGGTAACACGTACATGTTTAAACTTGGGACGTTGCACTTCTTGTACGCCACTAATCCTTTCATGGTGAAGGAAATGAAACTCTTTAGATCGTTGGACCTGGGAAAACCTGCTTATCTACAGAAGGACAGGGGAGTTTTGTTAGGCAAAGGCATTATTACAACAAATGGACCGGCTTGGTCTCACCAGAGAAAGATTTTAAGCCCCCGGCTCTCTGTGGACAAGGTCGACTTAAATTGAATTTACAGCTTAATTAATTCTGAGTGTATGATGTGGGGACCTTGTGTTATGCAGGACACTTTGAACATAATTGTTGAATCTGGTAGCACTGTGATTAAATCATGGGAAAGAATATTAATGGAATCCAAGGATGGATTAGATGCAGATATCATGGTGGATGGCCACATGAGAAGCTTCACCTCCTGCATAATCTCAAAGCTTATGTTCGGGCATGATCATTGTAGAGGAATGAACGTAACTGCAAGGTGTCACACTCTTTTTAAGGCAATGGGAACAGCAACGACAATTGGGATTCCATTCTTGAGGCAAGTCCTCTCCTCTCCTCGATATCCTTGTATATACATATATGTAATTAAGCAATGGTGGGTTGCCAATTGCACTCATTTTTTTGTCCTTGAATCAGATATCTTCCTACTAAAGCAAATAGAAATGCTTGGAGATTGGCAAAGGAGATCCATTCGATGATTTTGGACATAGCCAAGGACCGCTGTGGATCTAGCACAACTAAGGACATATTGCAAGTGATCTTGGAAGGTTCCGAAAATGATGGGCCTGGTCCATCAAATGCTCATGAGTTCATAGTTGATAACTGCAAGGATATGTTGCTCGCTGCCTCTGAGGGGACTGCTATTTCTGCAATGTGGGGTTTAATGCTGTTAGCTTCAAATCCTGAATGGCAAGCTCGTGCCCGGTCCGAAGTTAAGCAAGTCTGTGGTGGTCATCTCCCGAATTTCAATATGCTTGGCAAGATGAAAGTGGTAGGTAGCTGATTGGTCCATTAAAAAGCACAGATTAGTCATTTTAACTTCAATATACACTTAATTAACTGCAGTTAAAGATGGTGATATTAGAGGTGCTGAGGCTTTACCCGCCAGTGGCGTTGGTATCAAGGCGAGCCCTGCAAGATGTGAAGCTTTGTGATATGCAGGTTCCAAAAGGTGTAAACATTTGGATATGGGCACCAGCATTGCACCGCGACCCTGACCTTTGGGGGCCTGACGCAGACAAGTTCAATCCTGAAAGGTTCATTGACGGAGTTTCAGGTGCATGCAAGTCTTCACATGCCTATATACCTTTCGGAGTTGGGGCTCGGCTGTGTCCCGGCAATAAATTAGGGATGATACAATTGAAAGTCTTGCTTGCTATGATCTTATCCAATTTCAATCTTAGCATCTCCACAAACTATCGTCACTCCCCTACGTTGGGTTTGCTTTTGGAGCCCGAGCACGGTGTTAATCTTGTCATTCAGAAGATATGAGTCCTGAGGGTAGACAGCTCAAGGATGCTTAGAATAAAATAGTAAATTAAAATGAATAAACTGGTGGCCTGAACTTGTAAAGCTTTGCCAACTAAGGCAAACAGACAAATAGCTAGAGATGAAAGCCACTTCTTCAATGTGTATCGTCCTCTAATGTACAAGATGATAATATATAATAATAAGATAAAAATGAAAACTCGAGTAACCTAAATACAAGACAACAAAACTAGTGAAACCAAACGCCAATGCACTGGTGATCATGCACTGCAAACATCTTTTTTCTTGAAAGCAATTTGAGCGATTCTGCGAATCTCAAATGCAGTAACGGTAAAAACCCCTGAAAAAACAGGAAACTTGAACTAAACTGGCAGATTTTGCCGCCTTGAGTACTTGAGGAATCCCGCCCACCCCCCTCTCTTTCTGATTTTGGTAGCCTGCCATTTTCTTATAGCAGGATGTGCAGGTGTCTGATCATCAATCCACTGGTTCCGCAGGATATATCTTAAACACTCTTACGTGATGGATATGGGTGTCATGCTCTCTTAAATTAATACGCTTATAGCCGCTGACCTCATAATCCCGTTCAAGAACCCACATAAAGTAGCTGGAACACCAGCCTTTCCCGTGATGGGAGGCTCTAAACACCAATGAAAACTTCCGAGGAAGTGAGCTAGCGTCTGAAATTGCAGTGTTCAGTATCAGGTATAGAACAAGCAGAAACAATAGAAGGGGACAGTCCCTTAACTCATCCAGGGGGTGTTCTTGAGTACACAAGAAAACTGGAGGTGCGTTAAAACCGTTTTTCTTTTCAATTTTTATTTTTCCTTTTCTTTTCTGGTTTTTCTTTTTCAATGAAAAAGTTTAAAAATATATTCAATATTTATTAAAAATGAATATAAATTTTACACCAGAAAAATAAGAAATATATCAAGATTACAACTATTTTTCATAAAAAATCAAAACCATATTTTATAACAATCACCTTAATATTTTGTATTTGAAATAATCTAATTATATATTTTTTCCATTCAAATTAAAAACTACCATGAAAAATTATATTGTTAGCTCAAAAAATATTTATATTATATTTATAATAAAAATTATATTTATGACACTAACTGAATATACAAATGTAAGAAACAATAATCTTTTTTTTTATATATATTTTTAAATGCTTGTATATAAAAAAATATTGTCTGTCTTTTCTTTATTTAGAAAAAATGAGAAACTTGTAAAGAAAAATTATGAAAAATTTTTATAATATATTTTTCAAATTTAGTATATTTCCAGTTTTTTGGATTAAAAAATATGTCATATGAATAAAAAGTTCTAGTTTTTTCTTTTTTCTGACTATAATTTTTTATAAAATTAAAGTATTATTATGTTTCTAAAAAAAAAAATCTTTAGAATTCATATGTCTAACATCTAGAGCATGGGTTCTTACGTAGGTAGATGCATGGGGCGCCCCTGTGTGCCGTACAAAATAGGAATTCCAAAAGAAACGGGAAAGAAAACAAAATCCTAATAATACAAAGCTATTGGGTTACAACTAGTTATAATTATATTATAATTAAAAACAAAAAACTAAAATGCCAGCTCATTATCTTACAGTTTATTGTGAGTTTAGTATTATGTTTTTTTTTTTTTTAATTTCATTTTTTTTTATGTTATGTTATTTATTTTTGTTAAGTGATAATATCTATTCTTTGTGTTTTTTAAGATATTAAAGTTTTCATAAGATTTTAGAGTTTAATTATTGGTCAATTTAATAAGATATGATTTTAGTTTTTAGCATTAAGATATAATTAAAAGACTAAGAACTAATATGAGAAAACAAAAAAAATACTATGATGGCCTTTCTCAAATTCGCATGATAAAGTTATATTTAGTTCTCATGTTTTTGGGTTTTTCGTATAAAATTCTATTTTATTTATTTTTAAGTCTCTAAGTAGCTTGTTTGGAAGTATAATTGTAATTGTTTTTCAAAGTAATTTTCGTGCCAAAATGCATCAAAATGATATTTTTTTTATTTTTTAAAAATTATTTTTGAGAACAGTACATCAAAACGATCCAAAACATAACCAAAAAATTCATTTTTAGAAATTATTTTTCAAATACCTTTTGTGTTGAAATGCCTCAAAATGATATTTTTTTTATTTTTTAAAAATTATTTTTAAGATCAGTGCATCAAAATAATCCAAAACATAATAAAAAAAATTCATTTTTAGTAAAAAAATTGAATTTTTTGAGAATGACCGTGTTCTCAAACAGCTTCTTTTAAGAGATAAAAGAAAAGATGTTAGAAACTAAAAAAGGATAAAAAATTCATTTCTTGTCCACAACACGACAAAAGAAAATGTTATTATTTATGTTAATGAGTTTTATTTTATGATAGGAGTTCCATTGAGTTTTTTCCCTTCATTTTGCCACGTAAAAAAAATGCAAATTAAGATTGAGTAAGAAAAATCTTTTAATTTTATTTGTATTTTTGGATTAATTTAGGTTCTTTTTATTTTTTGGAAAGTAATTTTTTTTTAAAGTAATTTTTTTAGAAAATACATTCCTGAAAAGTGAATTATTTTTTTTATATTTAGTAGCATCATAAAAAATAAGTTGGAAAATATTTTCCAGTGTTTAACTATATCATGAAAAATAAGCTGGAAAATAAATTGTTAATATTTTTTTCATATTTATTAAAATAATGAGGAAAGAATCTTACCAATTAAAAAGTTAAATGAGAATAAAATTAAAAAATATATAATTTCATAGATTATCTCAAATAAAATAAATAACAATCAAAGTAATAAATATCAAATCTAACAGATAAAAAAGTTGAAAGATAATTAAATTAAAAAAATTATAATTTCATAAATTATTTCAAATAAAATAAATAACAATAAAAAGAATGAGGATTAAATGTGATAGATAAAATATTTCAATTAAAAAAATGATAAGAAAAAAACAAATAAAAATCATAAAAATAAGAATAAAAATTAATATAAAAATCAAATTCTAAAGGGTGAATAGAAAAAAAATTTAAAACTAAATATATAGCAATCAAAAGTTTAAGAACTAAGTTTGATATAATCAGCAAATAACATGATAGTTTTAAATTTTTCACAACTTTTAAAAAGTATTTTTCACTTAAAATAAAAAGAAAATATTTTTCTGCAAACCGAGTCATTTTTTTAACTGAAAAATATTTTTTATTGACTAAATTTTTTATTGAAAAACAAACATAATTTTTTTGAAAAATAGTTAAAAAAAAATACTTTTTATGAAACAAATGGGATCTTAAAGGTATTTTGAATTGAGAAATTAATTTATTGAGATTACAAGAGTGTTTTCTAGATTTTTTAAAGTTAAAATAGGTTACAAAATATTTTTTAATTAAAAGACCTCATTTTAATTTTTTGATTATCTATTTGATAATAAAAAATTGAAAAGGCAGGCTACGCATTATTTTTTTTATTAAAAAAATAATAAGGGGTAAACCAAATAAAATATAGGAAGACTTAAATAAGATTAAAAAAAAAAAACCATAAGAAGCCCTTATGTGGTGGCCCTCTCAAGGTCTGATGACAATTTTTCACCTTAACTTTTTTAATTTTAGACTAGTTAAAAATATCTTTGGGATGCGGCAAATATTGAGTTTTAATTGAAATTAATTAAAAATAATTTGGTTTATATTTAATAAAATATTTTTCATTTTTTACTTGATTTTTGAAAAGAATATAATTTTTATTTTTATTTTATTTTTCAAGGTATCATTCTAATTTATTAATAATTTTTTTTAATACAAAGTTTATTTTTTAAAATAAAAAATATTTATTTTAAAATTATATTATTGACATGTTTAATAAACACAAATGAATACATATCATGATATTTTTTATTCAATTAGTTTGTTTATCTTTTAAGTCATATATTTTTTAGAATATAGATTTATCTTTTATTTATTTAAATAAATAAATTTAATAAACATAAATAGATAGATATCTCATTTTATTTTATAGAATATCTTGATCTTGCATAAACTTTTTAATTTATATTTTAAATTTTTTTATATAAAAAAACACATTATAACAAACTGCATACCCAATATTTTTTTTAAATAAATTATAACCCGCGAATGGCGGTTAAATGGTTAGTAACTAGCTAAACAATAGGGGAAAGGCTAGTAAGCACATTTCTTACATGTGATGGAATGTTTTAGCAATTGATTGCATTGAACATCCCAAACCCCATGTAATTTTCAATCTAAACTCTTGGTTGTCGTGGAATATTGATCGAATGGCTTAGAAGCACGTTCACACCAACCAAACCCAAACAATACATCAAGTTCCAAGGTGCAATAAAGCAATGAAGTAATAAAATTACAAATAAATTAATGGAAATTTATCTTTATACTGCATCACCTCTGTATGTTTGAATTAACAAGATATACACATGCATAACATGTACAGAGATTATTCAAAGCCAATGGTTATTCATGATAATCACACTTTGCAACCAAATGCTCTAGCTAAATCCAATCTATCCCACCAAGGATGAGATCAAGCAACAAAAATAACACACGATAGATGATCAAATTATTAAGTCAAAAGAAAACTATTGTTTATAATAGTCTTGGTGAGGGGGAGGGTATGGACCTGGATTAGTGTAAGTAGGCCGAGCAAGAGATCCAGGTTGTTGTCCATGGGCATTGTAGTATGGGCCCCGCCACCCTGGATAGGCAGGGTGACCATACTCCTGGTTTGTTGGTGGTTGCTGAACCTGTCGAGGCGGGTAAGGAGCACCTGGAGCAGGGGGCATATGATAAGGTGGCGGCTGCAGTGGTGTTGTGTAAGGGGGAGGAGGGTGAGCATAACCAGGTATTGTAGACTGCCCAGGAGGCTGAAAGTACTGTGTCTGGGGCTGAGGATGCGGATGCGGAACATTTTGAGGATCTGATGGAGGATGTGAACTGGATCTTTGAGTTTGATGGGGCTGGTTTACTGCAGGATAGCTGTATGAGCCTGCATTCTTATGGTCTTGAAAACTTAGTCCAGCCATTTGTCTTTGTACATCTTCAATCATTTCTTGACACTGGATACTTCTGGTCATCACAAAATCACTGCACTGCTGTTTGATATTGGTGATGGCATCCTGTTTCACAAATATATTTCTTGTATCAACCCTTCGGAAAGTAACCCAGCTAAACTAGTTTAAAACCCATAAAAAAATAATTCATAGTGCCTGAGACAAAGGAAAGGCATGGACATTGGATGTAAGATTTAAAAGCATACAGGAAGAAAATAAAATAATTGCAGTAGGCACTTTAAAGAAGTGAGCATGTTCTACTTGATCATAAGTTCAGGACTTCACATCCTGAACAGCACAGATATATGCAACAGAGAAGTGTTTACCTGAAGACTAACATAAAACTTCAATCCCTCGTTGATGTTCTTCTTTATTTCTCGATACTTGACTATGGCAGCCTGTATTTGCTTGTAACACTTCTCACGAGATGCTGAAACAAATTGTGAGGGAGATTTGTGTCAAAGGAGCATGCGTTTCATTTACCCAATGAATGTGAAGGTCAAGCGCAGCTCTGAAACAAGAATATGATCTCTCATTTTGAGATAAACTAGCCACCTTCAAGAAAAACATATCATCAGAAAGCCTAGGGATGGAAACTAATCAAGTATTATAAAATTAAATTCTTCATGTCATTTTCATAGAAGTGTAGAATACACACACACACACACACATTTTTATTTATTTATTTGTAACAATGGTTTGATAGAATGATCGTGTTCCAATTTCTAGAGAGAGCAAAATAAGCAACATAGTGGAATTATAAACTCTGCAGTATTTAAACAAAAAGGACATCAACATGTAGATCAAATACATGCATAATTAACATTTCCATTCAAGAAACCCATTCAGACAGTATTGAAACAACAATTATACAAGAAAAAACCTACCTTTGTAATCTTGAAGGTTAAAGACAGCAGAAAACTCTTCATTCCGAGCCTGTAAACAAGGACAGCCTATAATTTTAGGAAAAGAAATTGACTTCAGAACAAGCTAACAATTCAGAAACGAGCTTAGTAAATGATTGCTGAATTGCTTTCCACGACCATTGAAATCTAAGGTGCAAAAAGAATAATTCATCAACTAAGTTTCAATAATAACAAAATGAATTTATCTATCCATGCTGATTTAAACGGAGTCCTACCAATGTAATTGTAGAGACTCCTCTTTATTGTCAATTTTTGGGCTGCAAAAGGGACACAGCCATGGCCAGCTAATTTAGCCACCTCATTTGTTCAAATTACAACAAAATATGCTGCCCCTCAAATTGCAATCTGTATTGGCCATTATTGGCAAACCTTACAACAACTCCAGTTACAGGCTTACACAACAAAGCTTGGGCAAGATGAGTGTCGACAAAGGATATGTATTGTTGTAACCCAATTTTGGATTCACTAAGATTTTCTCGAATGTTATTTTATTTTATTATTCATAACAAAAAAAATAAAAATAAAAAGTTTAAAATATATTTTCTCGAGTCAACCGCATCTTTTGATCAAAACCGAGTCCACTGGGTCAATACATGTTAAACCATGTTGACTGGGATAAAAAATGAGTTCCGAGCTGTTTCGGGTTAAAACCGTTATTTTCGGTCAAAACCGAGTCCACCGAGTCAACACGGGTTAAACCATGTCGACCGGGATAAAAAATAAGTTTCGGGCAGTTTCAAGTCAAATCCATGTTGACTGGGATAAAAAATGAGTTTTAGGCTATTTTTGGTCAAAATTGTTATTTTTGGTCAAAAACCCAGTCCACCGAGTTGATACCCATATAAAGATTTTTTATGTTCCAATATAATTTTCAGTAATTAAAATTGATTTTTAGCGGTTGAAACGAGCTTTTTCTAATACTGATTTGAGTTTTTAATTTTACCCCTATAAATATTTATTATTATTATATATAATAAAACAAAAAAAATAATACAGTTTTGTCATAGTAGGCGAGGGATTTTTGCTAATGGTAGGCGGTGCAGCTGTAACATTGAAATTTTGCACATCACATGATTTTATGTCCCCCTTTCATTGGCTATAAATAGCCAGTGAAAATATGCCAGAGAGGAGAAGAAGAAAAAAAAGAAGAAAAAATCCGAGAAAGAGCTAACTATTTATGTTTATTATTTAGACATTATTCATATTTTTTCTACTTTTTTTTCACGCGAGTAAGATATTGATTTAAAAAAAAAAACAATTTGAAAAATACCAAAAATATCCTAACCGTTAGATCCAATAGTGTTTAAATCTGAGTTTTTGATTTAATAGGATACAATAGGGCTTACCACACTAGATTAAAACCCAAATTCATCTCAGCCTTAAAATAATCTGCCATTTGATCCTGTTGTGCCACGTCATCAGGTGTACCAAATACTCGATGCATCGCGCCACATCGGATCACAACTCAGCCCATCCGGACCCTCTGATCAACTTGCAGATCAAGTCAATCACAGTCGCAGTATCAGTTCATCCGTGATCCAACCGTTCATAGCCTTTAGAGGCATCGATGCACCATGCTCGCGTTCACACCGTAGCAACATCTTGGAGCCTCTCTCTCCTCTCGCCGGTAATTCTCTCTCTCTCATCCGATCTCCCATTTTTTGCCGTTTTAAGTCGCCAAACCACCCCAAAAAGGTGAATCGCCCCTTCTGAAGCAAAACCCCGATAGTTTTACATGTTTTTGCCGCCTCATCTGGCTAGAAAAAGGCTGCGACTGTCATCGGCCACTCGAAGCTTCAAATCGACTATGCTCCCTCATCAGCCATCAACGAAAGTCGAAACCACTGTCATCAGAATCCTCTCCCTCAGATCTACCAGAATCAACCATCTGTTGGCTGGAATCTCGCTGGGAAATTTCGCTGCCTCCAAGAGTAACCGCGCGTGAGGCACACGCGTCGTTAGTGGCATTTTCATAAATTTCTGATAAATTCAAGGATATTTCAGTCTTTTACCTATACAATGGCACTTGAGTAATTGTTTTTTGTTATTTTTGATATTTTATATAAAAAAAATTTGCATGTAAAAAAAACAAAGAAAAAAACAAAAATAAATATAAAAGAAATAACGACACGAGTCCAACACCCATCTTATCATGTCATTGTTCATGGGTTCAAAACCCGATTCTCAAGTATGGAATCGATTTCTTTCAAGACAGTGTTGGCCGAAATTGTTGGCCATCTTATTATCTTTCCATTTTCATATGACTCACAGTCAATTTATACGTTAACATTTGGTGGGAACAAATAGCCAGAAAGGGTTGTTTAAGATGTTGTTTGTCTGGATTATGAGTCATATGATTGAGGGGAAGATTTCAGGTTTGGTTGGTACCCCATGACATCTTTATTCTAAGTTGGTGAATTTTGCTGAAAAACATTTGCATGAAGTAGGAAGAACTACATGAGAATCAATGTTTCTAAGTCTAAGTAAATCTCAATTTCATTGGAGGAGTCGATATTCTTACTTCAAATCTTATCTAGCATATTGTGGTGAGTACCCATGGGTCTCGTTGATAGGAGCCCGCTGCTGTATTAGTTATTGTCCCAATATGGTTTTACGACAGTTTGGATTTGAGCAGTTTATTCCAAGAACTACCAAATTGACAATATTTTATGAAGATTTCAAGACCTCGAAGAAATTATTAGAATCAGTGAAGAAGGCATGAAAACATCCTGGTAGGGTTACTTCTGCTAAGAGTGTAGAAGGAAAAAAAACTAAAGGATATCTAATGTGGCAAAAGAAGAGAGGGAAAGGATACAAAGTTCCTCCTTTTGAAGGGTCATCCAGGTCTTTGATTCGGTTTGCTGAAGATATACACAAAGAAGTCCGCGCCTAACAAGAATCTTATAACCTAAGTTTGAATGCTGAAGTGGAAGAGTTAGGGGCTAAAAAAAAAAGTTAGCATCTAATCTAGCCATTCGAGAAAAAACTTTGGCTATCACAAAACAGGAAAAGGATGACTTGTCAGCTCAGCTATAACATCAATAACTTGAGTTCTAGCAACTATAAGAAAAATATGTTCTTCTGTCAGAAGATAAGAGGAAGCAAAATGTTAACATGAAGAGCTGGGTTAGAAGAGCATCAAAAGTTGAGGAAATGACATTAAAGTTGGAAGAGGCAAATAAATTACTTCAGGAATAGTGTCAAAATCAAGATACATTAATTGCCAATTTAGATGAGTAGGTGGACCATTTGCTTTTCATTGAGCAAACCTTATCATCAGAAAAAGAAAATGCAGAAAGAGAAGCAGAATATTGGGCTTCTGAAGTTATGTGTTATTATGTACAAGCAGATGATGCCAAGAATTATGCTTTAGAATTAAGAGACATAGCCCAACAAATAATAGATGATGAGCCAATGACTAGAAATGAATTCCATCAGTTTTTTGGGTTGATCAGAGATGGAATTAATGAGATCTCAGCATATGACGGTCCAAGGCTTTGGAAAGATTAACTTGTTATGATTCTAATATTGTAAATCAATAAAAGACAATTTCATCATCTTTTCATTATGAAAAATGTTTATTTTGATTTTGATTTATAGCATCAAATTTCTCGCTTAAATTGGTTCAAGTTCTTGTAGGTTTGGAGTCCTCAGAGAAAACTTTCTTAAGAGAATCTGATCTGGTCTGTTCCTCATCATAAGTTAAAGGAAAACCTAAAACAAATAACAAGCATGCATCTTCCATATGACATTTTGCATCCATTTGTGCATTTCATTCATTTCACTTGCATTCATTCAGGTTGAAATATAGGTCCCTCAAAAGACCATAAAATTCATTACACTCGACTACGAAGGAAGATAATGGAGAACGAAGAAAGAGCACATCTAGAGGCTCACTATCAAAAGGAGTTGGAGAGCATGAAAAATGATATTGCACGACTTACAAGTCTACTTGAGCAGACCCTAGTATCCAAGTCCGGAGAGGATATCCCTACTCAACCAACAGTTGCAACTCCATTTGTATTTATGCCAGCAACTCCTTTTGTATTCACGTCTCAAAATTTAGGGGCAAATCCCTTTTCATTTGAATAATAGTTCATTACCAATGTTCCACCAGCACAAGTGTTGATTGTAAACTTGACAACTAATGACTCACATAGGATGAGATTCTCTAAACATGTTGATTATGATAAATTGACTGCTCTGGAAGAAGGATTGAGGGCAGTCAAAGGGGCAGACTTATATGATCCCGTTTATGCTACAGAGATGTGTTTAGTCTCAAATGTAGCTGTACCCAAAGAATTTAGGGTACCAGAATTTATCAAGTATACTGGAACTGAATGCCCAGTCACTCATCTTAAATTTTATTGTAATAAGATGGCAGAAGGGGTGAATGATGAGAAACTTCTCATCTATTTCTTTCAATACAGTCTTTCTGGATCAGCGTTAAGCTGGTATACAAGGCTAGATAATACAAAGATCAGAAAGTGGAAAGATTTGGTAAAAGCTTTTGTGGAGCAGTATAGATTCAATATGGAGGTAGCCCCAGATAGGTCAAGCTTGTTAGTCATGGAGAAGGGCAACAAAGAGACTGTAAAAGAATATGCTTTGAGATGGTGTGAAAAAGCATCTCATGTGCAACCCTCTTTGTTAGAAAAAGAAATGGTCACTTTATTTTCTAACACTTTAAATCTCTTTACTTTGAACACCTAGTGGGTAGTTCAGGGGAGGGGACAATTTTTTTTTAGGAGAAGAATGATAACCTCTCTCTCTCGTCTCTTTCCACCGTTTGAAACAACACTACCATCGAGAACCACCCACCTTGCCCTTAGAACTGTCGTTTGGAAGAAGAAACAAAGAAGCAAGGTGACTGAACAAGGAGAAGACATAACACAAAAGCGGCAGAGAAGAGGAAGAGCAACCACAGCCAGCTGCAACAACACCACCAGGAACAGAGCACGTCCTCTCCACCACCACAAGCTGCCATTGTATTCCTAGTCGACAACAACACAGTTGGGAGCAGAAGGAGAAAGGGAAACAGAGGAGAAAGAGAGGAGAGAAACCAACGCCGAAACATCAGAGAAGAGGAAGAGCCGCCACAGTAACACCACCACCAAACCAGTCACCAGCATCACTGTCATCTGTCATCGCCAAATCAGACACGAGCATCACTGTCAGCTTCTCATCCCAGGTAAGTGACGATGCACAATATTAATTAACTAGCTACTGTGCAGGCTAATTAATTAACGGGTTATTGTACACATGATGATGTATTTTTAAAAACACTTAACCTAATTATTTTAAATTAAATAATGTAAAAATTAACTTAAAGTGATTTTATTAACTGAATAAGTCCTAAAAAAATATAAATCAGATTATTCATAATCAGCTTGTGATATAAATTATAAATTCTGAGTTATTTTATTATTATTATATAATAAAAATATAAATTTATTAAATTATATATATATATATATTATTGGTTAAATAAAAAAATTAATTTAAATAAATTTAATCAGGTAAATATATTATGTTATGGGAGAGATCAAATACATTAATCTATATCTATTTTTAATTTTTTTAGTTGCTATTAATAATTATTTATTTATTTATATAAATAGTTATTAATTTATCCAATTAAATACTCTTCCAAGTCTTTATTTATATTTCAAAAATATTAGGTAAAAAAGCGTCGGAAAAAATATCATATCCAATTTTTTTTTTTTAAATAAAAGATGACTCCCAGCATAGCGCAGAAAAAAAATAAAAGATGACTCCCAGCATAGCGCAGTCAAAAAGCTAGTATATCGTTACGCCACCTCAGTCGAAACGTCAAAGCCTAAAAAAGGTGAAAACAACCCCTAAACTAGCTGCGACAGGTGAGGGAGGAGGAGAGAAGAGGCAGGTTGCAACTGCCAAACAGAAAGCTCTTCTTTTTCTCTATGATCTGTTCTCTCTCTTCAACCTATCTTCGAGGTTATCTTCACTAGGTTTCTTTTCTTCTTCAATTCCGCGATTTACTCTCTTTTTTGCCCTTTATCTTGATCGGTTGTGTAATTTAGGGTTCAGGGCTTAGGTTATGATTTTCTCTTATCGTCAATCTTTCGTCTTTGCTAGCTGTTAGCTAAACTCATTAGTTTGTTTATTGAAATATAGCATTATTTGTTCATTTTGTCGAATTTCTGTGATCTGGGGTTTTTTTAGTTGATGAAATGTTAGCTCTTTTTTTTTAACTGATTAGAGCTTTCAAGCTTAAATACTTTAAGTTTCTAAAGATCCCTGTATGTTAACAATGAATAATAATTATAATTATAATTATTTTAGACCTCTGTTTAACGGTCATTTCTAATTTATAAAAGTGACTAAATGCATGTAAAACGGGAAAAACTGGATATCTGGGAAAGATGGCTGTTTCAAGTTGGCCTAGGAATTTACCATTCCAGCTTCAGCATTTAGTTTAAGTACGTTATGATGATAGCTTTTTTTTCTTTTATTTGTAATGACTATAGCAATTGCATTTTCAGTTTTAGACATCCCTTTTTGCACTCTTAATCTGCACATCAGGAGATCCCTTCAACTAATAAGAGCCGTATACCTACAATATAAAATAACTGGTTATTTTGCTTGAATTTTGTGGATTTAGGCAGAAATGTATCCAAAGCTCCCTATATTCAATTGTGTGTGCATGTGCTGAGGAAATATCTTTATATTGAAAAAAGAACTCTATTGCTAAACATTATTATTTGCGATTACTTTGGATATTTTGAAATTTGAGATTCGCTTTTTTTCTTTTCAGCAATTGAAGCATCTGATTTTCCTGTGTTTTTGGTATCTGTGTAGACTTGCTTCTGCTACTTTCGTGGAAAGCTAGCAGCTGTGGGCATATTGAGGGGGCATTCCCTTTCTGCACAAAACTTAATAGTGGATGACGCGTACTGTGCTTTGTACTGAAATTTGTTGGACGCCGGGTACTGCCATTTTGTGCTGAACTTAATTCAAACTATCAAACCACCAGCTTGTTATTTTGTTGCTTCATTCTTTCTGTTCGTAAATCTTGCTTTTGCACTTGTCTACTATTCGCTTCATTTTTCAGGTTTTGTGATTAATGGTTCTCGAGGCAGTTGTTTGCCATCTTTTAGGCTGTGAAAGATGGCACGCTAACTACATCAAACACTGCCAATTGCTTATAAAATTAGTTTCAGATAACTTGGTCCCTTTCCTTTCCCTGAGATCCATTTCTGCATCGCACAAACCCTATAAATACATCATGGAACACAATCAGAAGGTGAAGCCTCGGAAGCGTTCATGCTTGGAAAACCGTTTGGCAATCAGCGCAAGGTGCATTTGTACGGTTTGTGATCACCAACACAAGAATGCCGAAACCTGGTCCTTGATGACATGCCTTCAACCACGAAACAAAATGAGGTTCATTAGCTTGACATATAAATAGACCTGAGAAAAACAAAGATCAATGCTTAGTAACCAATCTATTAGATAATAGTAAAATACGGGAACATGTATCTGGCAATTAGCATTAAATCCATGGTATCATTGATTTCATTTTTGAATTATGACTTTTATTTTAGATTATAATGTGAAAGTTATTTTTATAAATATGACAAAAATAAGTTAAAAAGACTAAGCTTAAAACATGTTCTATAAAAAAACAACTTTTTTAAAAAATATATATAATATAGATTATAATCCATAAATTAAAAGTTAAGAATCTCAATTCTTGACTCAATTTTATAATTCTTTATTATTTAAATCGAAAGTTGTTTATAACTCAACATACTTGTAACTTTTATTTGCGTCAAAAGTTAGACAAGTCAAAAGTTACAAAACAACAAACATACAAACATACAAACAGAAGGAGAGAATTTCTGCAGGCTCCTCTCTGGATTATATTCGGTTATTATATCATCCATCCTAGGCGTTTGAAATGCTTAGCAGGCGTCGCTTACACAGATTCACATCAGCGTGTCCTACTCTTAGATCACACGGAATTCTGTTATAAATTAAGGGTTTAAACTGAGTTATGGATCCTGTAACTTATCTGCTTGCAGTTCTGATCTGTCAATTTCAACATACAACGGAGATCCCCAAATATCCAAAAATTGGTTTTATTTGCTGAGCGGCACATTTCATCTTCAGCAGCGGGAATAAAGAATCACTATCAACTAATTGTTGCTCCACAAACAATACAACAGGATAAACCTCGTTTCTAATTCTCAGAAGTTCTTTAGTATTTTCTCACTCGAGACTCCATCTGACACAAGAATTGACGTTATTTCCTGCAAAGTGCAATCAACATTAATGTTACTCGTATAAAAGTAGACAACAATGACAGTAAGTGGGATTACTATTCATTCACCAGATTAACAAACCACTAGACAACATCAAATCATGCACATCAACAGCATTATCTATGTCATTCGAATCATTGTGGCATGGATATCTCCGCAACAGAACAGTTTGCGTGGAATAATACTAGTAAAATCTTCCTGTTCAACCCCAACAATTACAAGTTTTGCAAGAGTAGTATTCCAGTGGCAATTATCCAAGGCATCATCAACCAATAGCAATTTGTGCAAATTGATATGACCCATCTCTTACTATTGTAACTGAGTAATTTTCAAAAAATAAATTACGCAGCTCCCTGATGTAGCTGCTATCCTACTAGACCAAGCTGGGCCTGCAAATTATCACTCATCCTTCAACAGCTATGACTACATTCATCAACAATGTTTTTGCTGCCTTCAAAACGTGTTATATTAGTAACCTTCCTCTTTCAGTTCATAACTACAGCTGCTTTCTGGCCATTGCACTCAATCAATTTCCTCACCATGAACAACTGTTTTACTCTACAACACAGCCAAGCCAGTAGCTAAAATGTTGCAAAATGTTGTCCAAATGATTGCTGTTTTTTGCAGCTGCTCTCTAGCAGAAGGGACCCACTACTCTTAAGTAAATGTCAACTTGTTAAGGGGAAGACCCCAAAGCCTTTGTATGAGGAATGGAGAACTACTACTTATCAAACTTGAAAGTGTGTTTCTTGCGAGGTGGTTCTCAGGTTGGAGAGAGAGTCTCCCCACAAAGAAATCAAGCTCCTAAAAATAAAAACCATCATATTTACTTATTAAGATCTACACTTAAGTTTTCTTTTCCTCACAGTCTCAACAATTTATGATGCATGTAATTAGTTAGCTAGGGACATCAATTGTTTCAAGTGTCAAGTGTGAATGCTTCGGAAGAAAGAAGGGGTTGGAGAAAGAGGATGAGATGCAGGGTTGCATTGTTAATAGTATGAGATATCCTATCAAGAAATAAACGCAAAAGAAGTTTCAGTATGTTCTGGCATATATTGAAGATTTTTTCCATAAATTCATATCATCTGCATTAATTTTTCAAGATTTGAGCAAGTGAGAAAAAATCCATGCCAATGCAATTGCAAAGGATGCACTTAATAATCAAGACAACTATCCTAATTTATTATTTGTAAATTATGCCAAATGTCAGATCAAGAAATAAACGCAAAAGAAGTTTCAGTATGTTCTGGCATATATTGAAGATTTTTTCCATGAATTCATATCATCTGCATTAATTTTTCAAGATTTGAGCAAGTGAGAAAAAATCCATGCCAATGCAATTGCAAAGGATGCACTTAATAATCAAGACAACTATCCTAATTTATTATTTGTAAATTATGCCAATTGTCAGATCATGAGTAACATGGCAAATAAATGAACAACTCGTTTGTAGGAATTACAAATGCAGGAAGAATATGTGCTCAGAAAGATTATGTGAAAACATAACTGTTGACAAATAAATGAAGTAACAAACCTCAGTCATCTGTTTCTGCCCACAGAGAACAGCACCAGTGCCTGTAGGGCTATAAATTTGCTTGGCCTTCGCAAAAGCAGCCTGAAAAAAACAATGTTATGAAGAGATGTTAATTTAGGGTTTTTACACATATAAAACCTTAGATAGCATGTATGCACGCTCTACCTGTACATAGCCAGTTTCACCGGTCCACCTACCATCTGGTTGTGATAGAACTGGCACAATTTTAACACCAGAAGATTCCCAATCTTTAAACCTATCCTATAAGAGGAAGCACCAGGTTCAAAACCAACCAGACAAGAATGGTAATTCAATGGTAGTATATACCATAAAGTAATAAGATGCAAGCAAACCTGGTAAGCCATTCTCTTAATGTTTCTAGCCCCATAATACAGCCTCACATCAGATCTTTTATCGGCACTAAACCCAGACTCTATAAGAGATCGAATTGGACTGCAGGAGAAAACGGATAGAAAATAGTTCAAATCAGGAAACAAATGCACAATTTAAATGCATATATAAAGTGCACAGAAATCAATGGCAATAACCAGGATCATTTTCTAAAGCGAGGCTGCTAAATACCAAACAACATACATCTAATGGTGGCTAAATGGCATACTCTCTAGTTCAGGTTTACTATAAGCAAGGTTCCAGTAACTTTTTTTTTTAATAGTAAATCATATCAAAATGCAATATGTTATATTCATTAGCGTGCAAGTGGCAGGTTCTAATTGCATCATCTGGTCTGTTAATCGAAGGGAACGCAAAAATGTTCAAGAACCGGAATAGGACTCGTGCCCATGCTGCATTTTCTCAACGGGTTGTTATTAAACATAAGAGTTTCTGATAAATTCTAGCAGAAATGAGTAAATAGCATACCAAACTAGCAAGAGTCAGATGTTCATTTATCAAGTGACCATTAAATCGCACCTGATGCCAGATCCAGTGGCGAAAATCAGAACCGTAGGATAATTCTCTGCAGGCTCAATTTGATCAATCTCGAAACCTCTCCCGTTAGCTTGGCTCAATTCCACCACGTCTCCTTTTTTAAGTCCGCACAACAGCTCCGCCGTCGATCCCGCTACGCTCTTCACCAGAAATTCAAACGCACCTTTTTCCGCTGCGTAAGACGGCGGTGAGGCGATGGCCAGGAACGAAGGTTTCTCCACGTCGGGGACGCGCAGCTGTAAGTATTGTCCAGCACGTGTGTGAGAAGCTGCGAGGTCCGGATAGTCAGACACGTCGATGCTCACGTGGAAGAGTGACTCGGCTGCTGGTTCGATCTCGGACAGAGGCGCTTGTGTCCAGATCGTTGTGTCTTGCCGTACTGCAGCGGCAACCGTGGCTAGACGCCGCCTGTGGTGGTGCCTGAGGTGTTTGGTTAGGTGGTTTGGAGCTAGGCGGCGTAGGATAGACATGGAAATTAGGGGAGGACTATGGTGCGCATGGAGGAGAGGCGGTGATAAAGAGAGAAGAGTAGAGGGAGAGAGTTTAACTGACATGGTTTGATTTTTTAGTTGACGGAGGTATATGAGAGAAGCGGTATTCTGGATCTCTACAGGTCGGCGGCTCTAAAGGTGGGCAGAGGTGGCGTATGATAAAATGCGCAGTGGATGAGTTGTTTTGAGTGAATGCCACGTGGCATGTCCTCCAGTGATCATGTAAATAGGTAGGATAAGTAGCGGGCCCGTGAACTTGTTATCTATTTTTACTGCAGTACAGTTTCTGAAAGGGGGAGTATCAATTTAGTCCCTGAAGGAATACCCTATTATCAATTGAGTCCAAACCCTTTTAACTTATCGAGTTTGTCTGTTATCAATGGAGTCCAAAGCGTTTTAACTTTATCAATATTGCTTAAATAGAATCAATAATAGGCAATCCCATCCCTCCACCCATCCACGGTCAGTGACGGTGTAGATTAAAGATTTTGTCGAATTTGCAATTGCTTGGTAACTGTTTTTATTTAAAACATCAAGATACGCTCCAATCTATTTGAAATACAATAGTAGTGGCCATTCACAGTTCATTCCCATTCGTTTCATTAATTTATATAAAAGTTGACAGATGAAAGTAAAGTGGAGGAAAAAATTATTCGTGATTTTACGCTAAGATTATCATTTATACTAAATTATGAATCTTACACCTGGTGGGGAAGCACTCAACGAACACCTGGATATTGGATCAAATATTTCAACTCTCTCTAATAATTGATAGATGGAGAAGTTACATTTTCTAACATCGACTATAGTCAAACAAAATTGATAAATCAAAAGATTTAAGATTTAATTAATAATAGTATAACATGTTCAGAATTTTTTTAAGTAATGTCTAGAGTATTTTTTGACCTTTTGTTTTTCAAAACA